ACACACACACACACACACACACACACACACACACACACACACACACACACACGCAGAATAGAGAGGCAGTGTTGTTGATGAAATGCCAGGCGACATGAAAAGCTCTTTTGTCCAGGGCAAAAGGGACGACCGTACTCATCACCTTCTCCATAAGGCTCAAAACGGCATTACCCCGAATAACCTCCGGTTTGAATGACATCATATATCCTGACATTAGGGACTGGAGTGTGTCCAAAGCGGCTGCGCGGAATGCACGCATTCTGGGGGATGCGGGATGAGACGACAGACACGATAATCTTTAACTGATTCAGTGGAAATGAATGCATTCCTCCGGTGTGAGATAAGAGCGAGAGACTGAAAATATGTTTAAGCGTAAGAAACGGGGGTTCATAATAATAATAATTCATAATTACATAAACAGGTTTCATAGCTTTTTTTTTTATATAATTACTTCAAAATGATAGAATGCATATAAGGAAAAAAAATGTTTTTATAACTAACGACATTTGTGTCAATTCAGAACCAATAAGGCGGATTGGAGTTTCCAATTACCTACAAAGAAAACATTGTCAGTCTGGTTTTGAAATCAAGACAAATTCCGAATGACAAATCCATTTTCAAATCAACCGATGATGGAATTATCTCCAAATGAACTGATAATGAAATCAAACCCTCTCCTCCTCCTGCTGCAGGACCCCCATAGGAATGGCGTTGTAATTATTGACCAATCAGCTCGTCGGAGGAGGAAAAAAATACGAGACAAGGCTGCAACGGAGGAGCGCGCATCTCGCAGGGTTGCGCACAGAGAAGACGTAGCTGCCGCCGAGGAGGATGCAGTGAACGACCCCTCCGGTGTGTCCCCAGCTAATTTAACGGCCGGACGACGACGGCGAAGAGCATGATCCAGGCCGGGCACGACGGCAGAGGCAGCCGCACCGACAACAGCGGCGGCTCCCCGAGGCTCCAGCACTGCGCGCAGCCTCCTGCCAGCAGCGGCGGCGGCGGCAGCCGGACCAAAGATGCCAGATACCAGCAGCAGCTCCAGCGGCATCATGGAGGGTCCATGCTGAAGCAGCCGTCGCTCAACGAGCCCGCCGACGTCGTGAGACGCGCGCTGGACTTCAAGAGCCAAGGCACCCAGTGCTACAAGGACAAGAAGTACCGGGAGGCGATCGGCAAGTACCACCGCGCTCTGCTGGAGATCAAGGGGCTGTGCAGGGTGCTGGGGGATCCGGACACCGGCTCCAAGCCGCCGTCCCCCCTGCTGCCCACCATCAGCAAGTCCAGCACGCTGACGGATGAGCAGAAGGGCGCCATGGAGAACGCGGAGCTGGAGTGTTACAACAGCTTGGCTGGTGAGACACGCACGCGCGCGCGCACGCACGCACTCAAGCAGGCGCAGTGGTGGAGACGCACGCGCGCACAGACACGCGCGCACACACACACACACACACACGCGCGCACAGTAGCCTACACGTATCAACGGAGAAAGATTTTGGGAATGAGCTCATGAATGATTCACGATGAGGATGAGTCATTCTTGGGTTTGCCCCACTAGCCTCCTCGCTTGCTTTTGATATCCGATTAATGTTGAGATGATCCATTCGTTATATTTGTTATACATTCAAAGAGGCCGTCCTCGCTTGCTGCCTGACAGGTTGTATAATGAAATTCAAAGGTTGGCACGTGCTTTATCATCAGTAACTTTTTCACTCCGCTTACCTTTTCTTCTTTTTCCACGCCAGCCTGTCTGCTGCAAATGGAGCTGGTGAACTACGAGCGAGTGAAGGAATACTGTCTGAAGGTGCTTTACAAGGAAGGGAAGAACTTCAAGGCTCTGTACCGATCCGGCGTGGCCTACTACCACCTGGGAGACTTCCAGAAGGCCCTTTACTACCTGAAGGAGTCAAACAAACAGGAACCGTCAGGTCAGGATTGAGTCCCGATGTGTTCTTCCATAACAAACACAAGGGGCTTCCATTTGTTTCACCTTCTACATTTACATGTCTGCATTTTTTACCCCACCGAATTTACTGAGGGTTATAAGTACTGGACACTTTACTTACGATGAACAAGGAAAAGGAATCATGCATCATCTTAGATTTAAGCACCAACCACGATAGTTGTTAGAATCGGCACAATCCGGCTCACATAACATTTAATTGTTGCCTACAAACTTAGTAATAATGAGGCAGCAATATAATAATAAAAATAAAGCTTCTAACCAAATGCAAAGCATGTCATTTTCACCATAGACATGTTGTCTTTTTGTCCCTTACATGTCTTTTAACTACTTTGTGAAGACCACATGGAGATGTAAGTCTGAAGGTGTAAAAAATAAGAGAAACACAGAGGACAACAGATGTGTGGTCCGCCTGACATATTACATTTACTTATGAACACAAAGCAGAGGAATGCAAGCAGAGACGACGTCGCGCCGATTTATTTATATTTATTTATTCAACAACCATTTTGTTATTGAGGCTGTTTTAACGTAAAAGGACGTATTTATCATTGGACAAATCCCTCTCATCTCACTAGGCAAATGCCTGGAAGACGTTTAAATCAAAGTCAAAAATAAATAGCAGACATTTTATGACGTGGTCGTAGGGGTAATGGTATTTGTCGTAGCGCACCTCTCATTAGAGGTCACCGGTGGAGTTTTGGTCATTGTGGTCGTTTTATTGAGGTCTAAAAAACGGTGCTGGATGCTTTTCTCTCTTCAAAGATCATTTACGGAGCTGATTCGTGGGCATTGTTTGCTTTCCTGTAGTCCAGCTTGCAGTCTTCTTCTTCCCGGCTGTTGTCTGTGCACGGCTACGCTTCTTTGCATCGTACTTCCACCTGAAGAATAGTTGAATAATGCGAGACCACCGGCAGGGATGCGCATTGCGTCATCTGCGCGCCTGTAACGTATATCACTACCAGCGGCCCAAAACTCGCTTTTCTGTTCTTCTTCCACTGTAACATTGGCTCAGAGAAATTGAAGTGGTTAGAATATTCTGCTGACCTACTTTAAACCTGTTGGGGCCCTTCAGTGCTCACAGAGCCTCATGTTGGGAACCATAGCTATGGGAAACAGAACAAACTGTAGGCTTCTTGCTCGGGTCACTCAGTGTCCCTTTTGATTGCCATGACGATCAAATATAAAATATAGTTCTTTGATACCATATTCTACCCATTTAATTGTCCATTCACCAGATCGAATAACGAAAGACTCATCACTTTCTCAAGATTCAATGTGTTTTTCCTTTAAGTGCTTCATCTCTTTGCTGTTGTCATATAAATGATCAATGACTGTACTTGGATAATAACATAATTGTTTGCCACCGGTGGTTCCGGGAGCTTAAAACACACACGGTGAACTAGAAAAAAAGCACCGTGTCGTATCTGGAATGGAGTAGACTTCATGGAGGATTTAAGATCATATCAAACCACCATTTCCCGTCAGAGCGGTATTTGAATCAGCCTTTTTCCTCCGTCGTTGTTCCAGACACCAACGCCATCCGCTACATCCAATTGACAGAGATGAAGATTCGCCGAAATGCCCAAAGGGAAAAGAAGGAGGCGACATAAGGACCGGCTGTCTGATGACTTCTCAGGCGTCAGTGATTTCAGCCCAACTGTGTGCCACCGACACCTTACACACCACGCGAGGTGTGGAAACACATTTGTTTGCTTTTGCCTTGCACAACATCCCGTTGGCAGTTATGTTTTTGAACTTCACTGTTATGTGGTCGAAGCATTTCACTCTACTTCCTTTCTTATTTTACATTTCTTTAATGTGTGGCGCGTGATGCTGGCGTCTGTCTCCAAACCGCCAAATTGATCCATGGTGACTCCATCACAAGCATTTTTGAACCCGTACAAACTGATGCACTGCCAGTCCAAACATTGCACATACAGGCCAACACTTGTGATAGAGACAGGAGCAACAAGTTCCACGGACGGAGTCCAGCATGTCTGCAGGCACAAGATGTCTCTTTAGTGGTACACAGTAAATGAGTAACAACCACCTGCACACTTTTTTGAAAGTATCTTTTTTTTTTATACTCTAGATTTTATCTGAAGTAAAGGTGCTTTCATTAAGTAGGTTCCTAACTCATGCCAGTGCATGAGGGCAAGAACATCAAGAGCACATGGGTGCTAGTTGAAGAATGAACTTAAGAGGGAGATCACAACATGTACATAGGCTGCTTTGTATGAATCATGAAAAATATAATGGAGCAGCGATTTGTGTTTATTGATGCCAAAACAAAGCACTTCATTCACAGCATTAGTCTATTAACAAATACTGTATGTTTATTGTAAAAGTATGTGTGTAATAAATGTCTACTGATTGAAATACCTTCTGTTGTTGTGATGAAGCAGTGAATCTTCCCCTTAAATTTGGGATTTTCATTTTTCTCCCGTGTTCCCGAAAGGCAGCATGTGTAAATAAATAAGTGAACCAAAAGTGATTGAGATGATTTGACACCATTTCCCTTTGGCGGCTTCCATGGGGAAGCTTGAGTAACACGTCGGGTCATGATTCAATGAAGCGTGGTGGTGCAGTGCAGAAGAAACGTTCCTCGATGCAAACAAAGATGGCAGCCAGCCAGTTGGGAGAAATATGTCAGAAACCTCCTGGATCAGGTTTTGGAAGATACTGTGGTAAAGGAAACTTCTCCATGCTGTGTGAAGTAGCACCATGCGATATCACTTAAGAAAAACAGACAATATGTTTAGTCTCTAAAAACTCCTGAGATGAATATGTGGCTCCTTAGCTGCTGAATGCAACACTGTGCGGGGAAAAACAAACAAACAAACATCACAACAGCAAACCTTTGAGCCAAAACAATGAGCTGAAAGATGCTTTAACACTGCGTTTGGCCGATTGGTTCATCGGTCTGAACTACCCCTTTTATCTCTTGAATAGTTTGATTTATTATAATGAAAATAACGATCGTATACACATTAGGGGAACAGAGATCCTAATAAAAGTAATGGCGACCCAGTTAGATCGTTTCCTAGGATTTTACTCAAATAAGCGTGTTCCAGTGCAAATACATGTCAATCCATAACAGTATTATTACCAACTTGAACAATGTCCTTCAGCAACAGTAAAATCAGCTTATTCGTGGTAACATTTCAGACAGATAACGACACCTTGGCGACGAATCAGACAGCAGAGCTTAATTTCAACTAGCACCCTCAGCTGAAATACTGGTGTACAGTAAATCGAGCATGTTCACATTCTGCACAGTCGCTAGAGAACAAGCATTTGCATTTACGCGTACATTGGGTCACCCTCCCGAATGAGGACGGATCAAATCTCAGAGGATTCCGTCCTCCGGGCTGAGAGGCCACTTAACATTTGAGAATCAAAAGAGAAAACAGGCATGAAGAGCAGAGTCACATTTGTATCTTCAAATAATTGATCATTAACGATCTCTTTTTAGCTTCTGGAACCTGTGACAGTGAACAGGTGGAATTTCCCATCTGTGACTGCGTCAGTCACTTCCAGTATCCGGAATTCCCTCGTCAAACCAACTCGGTCTACTCGAAACAAACAAATGTCAAAAGCAGAAACCAGAAATGTGCACGAACCAGCTTTCATGCATTAAGCTCACTTAAATAACTTAATTGATTGTTGGATTTGGAGCGGCAACTAATACTTACATTTTTGAATAATCCGTCGATAATTAAGCCATTTTCAACAAGTTCACTTAAGCCTGTATAGTCATCAAATTGCTTGTTTGTTCAGGACAACAGCCCAGACGTTAAGACAAGATGAAGAAAAACAGCCAATTCTCACATTTCAGAGCCTGGAATTGGGAATGTTTTCACTTCATAATATTGATACAGCAACTCATCGTGTCAGCTTTAGTTCTATGGTTGGATTCGAACTACTCAACATCATACATCAATGTTAAAAATGTTCAAAACAACGACCTTATTTAAATTGTGTGAAACACACAAATCAATATAAAGCAAGTAAAATGTGAGTCCATCTTGTTTGAAGCCACAGTAATCTCCAAGAACATTCATAGACATTTACAGGTCTCAAAAATCAAGGCAAAATGCATTGAATTATAAAAATAAATAAGAAATGAATCAATAAATACAAATAATCAGGAATGAACTTCGACATGCCACCAGGGCCTGCTTCAACATTTGTGCAGTTTGTCACTTTCATACATTACATCCTTCATTCGATCTTCATCAAACACACATGAGGCAGACGACTTACAAACACAACCATCGCTCTTTAGTTTGAATAAGAAATGCTTCATCAAGCCGATCTGACAGGATCACAAAGAATGGACGGTCACGTATCCCGTTGGGACTTCCTGTCAGTGTTTTGGACCCAACAATAAGCCAAACCTTCTTCTTTATAGTACAGTTCACCGTAGAGGGGCTCAAAACGGTGCCAGACATTATTGTGCTGTCACCGCGGGTTAAATAAGCAAATAAGTGCGCATAATATACAACAATATCCTCCGTCTCCATCTTCTGGGATATTGCTGTGTACTAGTGGTGATGACTCCGTGAGCCACCAGCACAGGAGAGTGAGTTATGCAGAGGAGTTAAAATAACATGACGCGGTTACCGACAAGACAATGCTTTTTTTTTTTTGATGACGTGAAAAGCCGGAAGCTTTACATTCATGATGCTTTCTAAAAGTGCACTTCATTAAATGCACAATCTTGAAGTGAAACTTGAAATAAAAATAGAAATTTAAAGCTTTGTGAAACTGTCATTGCCATGCTGCCTCGGAGCCGATTAGTTAGTTCATCCGCAAAGAAATCATTTTGAATGGGGAATGACGGGGATTCTGTGCAAAGGAACAAAATGAAGTCACTCTGATGCATCAGAAAACCCCGGCTGTCTCAAAATACTTCTCTAACCCAAATTTAAGGATCCCAAAACAACAAATGTTAGGTAAAATTCACAGTAAAAAAGGACTTCCTGTAATTCAACGGCAATAGATAGGTGAGCCCCCCCCCCCCCTCACTAAATCCTGATTAAAGCTAAAACAGATTAATTCCGTCAGTGCTGATTGACGCCGAGCTGAGCATCCAAAGGGTAACAGCCGCCCCCCTCCGCTGAAGGGCTGCATGGGGCCGACTCAGGACCAGTATCCAGGTCTGTGGCGGTAAGGGGAGTCTTTGGGAAAGCTGGTCTCGGGCTTACAGAGTGGTACGGTTCCATCCCGGCACTGTCCCTCATCCAACCGATCCAACAGGTTTTCCTTCTTCCGGGGCGAGTAGGGCGTCGGGGCCTCCATTGGGGTGGGCAGGACCGCCGGGTCCCTACCGAACTCCACGGTCGGGGGAGTCTCTATGCTGGAGGTGTGGGCAGGGGACTCGCCGCTGCCCAGGTTTTGTCCGTTCCCCCTGGGCCTTGCTTCCGCCCAAAACTTGTCGCAGTGGGCCCGCGGGGAGGGCCGAGGCCGGGCCACGAAGTCAAGGGTTTTGGGGCGTTCAGGAGCACAGCGGCGACGGGGAGTTGGAGGGAACACAAGATTTGGATCGGGGAGCCGGGGGACCTTTGGACAGTCTTCTTTTAAACCTCTGAAGCCTCCTGTTGTGAAGAGGAAGAGAGAAGAAAACCATTATTTCTCGATCGAAATTGATGAGGTTTGCCCCATAAATCGGTTGGTTACCAGGACCATCAAATATCAAGTGTCAAATCGCCAAAACTATGACTGCATAAGCTGTTAAAACATACAGCAGACTCTACCTGTGTTCTCAAATGCCATCGTTTCTGGCAAAGGTTCCAGATTATTAGAAGGGCAGCTCTTCTTGATGGCGCCGTCTGATGGCGTCCGGCGCAGAACACGCGAGGAACACGGGGCGGATGGCACATGCGTGGGTGTGAGAGACTGCCGGGGGTTGCGCTTGAAGCTCTCGAGGTGGGTGTTGACCAGCGGGTTGGTCGGGGTTTGGGCGGCCGGATGGCGTTTGAGCGGGGAGGCGGAGCGGCAGACCAGCAGCTCCTCGCTGTCGGAGCGCAGAAGCGAGCGAGTGGAGTTGCAGTCGGACACCGATGACAAAGACAACAGGGTGTAAGAGGGGGGCAAGCCGCGCTCCGGCAGCGAGGGCGCCGAGGGTTTGAGTGGGCTCTCCCGCCGGAACAGTCTGCGGGTCGGTGGGCTGATGCTCCGCCTCTGGCCCCCTGATCTGTGGAAGAAACCTTCCCATCTGGATTTGATGTTCTCCTCCGGTTGGGCCAGGGTCAGAAGGTTGCAGCCCAGTCCGACGGCTGCCAGCAGAGCTCCACAGCCCAGCAGGACCAGCTCGGACCGCCGACCCCCGCCGGGACTCTTCCTGCATGGCGGTGTCCCCGGAACCTGGCCGCCTGGGCAGCACTCACCTCCGTCACCGTCAGCAGCAGCGGCGGCGGCGGCGGCAGCGGGGGTCGCGTGGCCCTCCTTTTGGAAGGGTATGCAGAGGTAGGACTGATCAGGAGCCGCCCCCGGCTCAGTAGTGAAGCAGCAGTCTTCATTTTCTAAAAACAGGATTATTATGGAGCATGTAAACAGGAAGGAAACAAAGAGAATGTACGTACCATTGCTCAGAAATGTTGAGGCCCGCTACGACATACATGCATTTTTACCAGTGTTCACCAATGCACAATGCTTTTTTGGGGGATCAGCTAATTCTGCACATCTGTGAGCCACATGCGAGGAAACAATCCGTCTCTCGCTTTCTCCTTCCAGGTTTTACAGTCGGCTCCTGCCTTAACCTTCAGACTATAGCTGTGCAGCTGTGTAGTGTGCAAGCTGCATGTCGGACAGAGGGAGCCGGCCCTGCTTACCCATCTCCACGAGGCTGGGAACTCCAGGAACTGCGGGACTGTGCCTCGGGGATCTGCGAAGGTTTGGGGCGCTGCAGGACCGCTGCCTGCTGCCTTCGTGGGGAGGCTTCACACTGTCGGGTTCAAAGGATCAAAGACAGATTTTCTTACTATTTCGCCTTTTTGTAAACTGACAAATTTACTAAAATAGCATTTGTTGGCGCCAGTTGCAATGGCCGTCACTTCATTTGATCCTATTACACATTTTTGTGAATTAGATAGCATGTGAACTATTGAGCTTTGGCCAGCAATGTAAGGGCACAGTGACCTTTGACCTACCACATTTAATAAATTACAGACGTACCAAACGGACTCACACAGATGGAATTACATGACAGATGGAAAACCTGAAATGATGATGCCTCCCGCCACAGCGGTCAGAAACGCAGAGACGAGCTGTAGACTCACGTGGCGTCGGCGCTGTGCTCCCTGTACGGGCCACAGCCGCGGGTTCTGCCCTTTTTCCTGGAGCCCTTCCTCTCACCGTCCTCTTCATCCTGATGGCAGCCTGAGTGTCGACCCCAGGCTGTATATCCCTCCCTTGGAGTGACTGGAAAACAAGACATTTTAAAAAAACAACACATTATGAGAATGGATATGAAATCTAATGAATAACTGAGAAAAAAACAATCGTTGGAGAATAACATCAAAATATTATTGAATCAAATTTTAAATATGAAAGTCTGATGGTGCTCACGTTGGATGGCTCTGAGGCGGGACAGCATCGGGGGGCTGCTCGGTGGACTGGAACCGCTGCTGAGCAAACTCCTCCGCCGATCGTGTGAGGGAGACGCCTGCACTGTGATTTTGTGCTGAAAATCTAAATAAGGATAAAATCATTAAAACAACATAACATTTGTAATCTAATACCAAGAAAATCTAATGACAATATCTAACGGACAAAAGTCAAGAGAAATCACCTCTTTATTCAAGGCAACACAAACAAACTCAAACTTTCTTTGTGTTGATGATATGACTATATTATATATATTAAAGTGGATGTTGGTCCTTATGATGACACGCAGTTTGGTTTCGGTACCTGAAGGTAAGCTGATCCTGTTCCCATCCTTGACTTTGAGGCGGTTGCGGCGGAACTTGCCCTGCCTGCTCTCCACGTGGGGCTTTTCCTGGTAGAGCTGGTGAATGATTATGTTGAGCTCTCGCTCCAGGATGTGGATCTCCCGCTCGGCTAGCTCCTGCTCGCGCCTCCTCAACGCCTCCTCCTGGCATTTCTGCTGCAGGGCAGCTTGGGTCAGCTCCTCCTCCCACGACCGCAGCTCCTGAGGGAAGAGAAAACGACAAGATGGGAGAACGTCCGAACACCATGTGTGCCATTAGAGAGGAGCACACACTCAACATGAAGACCCCTCGTCTTTACCTTCTCCTTGGTCCTAAGCTGATCAAACATCTCCTGGATCTCCAGTTTCCAGTCATCCTGCAGAGAGTGGAAGGACTCCGCTGGCATCTCAAAAAAGCCAGACTCTTCGATGGCCGTCAGCTGGTCCAGAATTAATGTGAACTGCGGTCGGGAGTGTGGGTCTGAGCTCCAGCATTCTAAGATAAGATAGTCCTTTATTAGTCCCGCACTGGGGGGATTTAAGTGTCTACGGCACAATATGAAACAATTGAGTCCAATTTGCCTCAGAAAATAAATATTTTGGTCCTTTGAAAAGTGATCAAATATCGATCATTTGTACATTTTCTGGCACATAAACGGACAGGTGTGTTTGCTCTCCATTAAAAAACAGTTTGAAGACAAGTGCATATAATGAACATAGCATTTGGAGAGGATTCTTTGCTCTACCTTACCTTCCATAAGACGTGCAAAGGGCTCAGGACAGGTCAAGGGAATGGGCAAAGCCAGCTTGTTCATCGCCACGCCATAAGCCACTGCAAGACTATCGATACCACGGAAGGGAACTTCTCCGGTCAGCAGCTCCCACAACAGCACGCCAAAGCTTTATTGTTGGAAAGAAAAGAAGAAAGAAAAACAAAGACATTGGTGCTGAATGAATGTGTAGCTACTCATAGACACTATTTGAATGTTCACGTTATAAAATGTGAAGGTTTAAGAACGGTTCTGAAGAATGTGTGTATGATTATAGGAATGTCAAGCAGGACTTTTGCCGAAATGTAGTTTGTATCTACAGCAAAGGACACGGTTTGAACAGAAATCAACGCTTTTTTAGAACGGCAATATTTTGCACGGATGTAAATACCAAGTTGAGAAAGAAAAGCTCAAAATAACGAAATCTCAACAGAGTAACGGTTAACAAATCCATGAAAACAAAGCCTAAACCACACAAAAAAAGATCTGCAACAAATCTAAATAATCAAAGAAGGTGGAGGTCATCAAATTTCTAATATTCTGGTTGAATCCATATTTGTTGGTGCTTATCTATTTATTAAAGGCCAGTCTAGCAGCACCATTTATTACATCTATGACATTCGTCCTACTAAAAGACATGGGCCTTCTTATCGTAGCTCTTGTAATGAATGCAGCTTCTCCTCACTGATCACACGTTTATCCCGTTCAAGAAGGAAACCATTCAGTCCTGAACAGCGGAGCCAGACTGTGAATGCCACCGCATGTGGGAAGACAGACGCCACAGAGGAAAAGTGAGAAGAATGACTCATTACAGCAAAGCCTGACTGCAGCGTGACAATGAATCCCATACTGATGATTTTCACATTTGCACGGTCATATATTGAGAACTAGATGTCAAAAACCACGAGGTTCATGTAAAGAGCAAAAGCCATTTAGGTACAGTTGTGTTAACAGGTCTAAAACCTGTTTGACATGCAGATCAGACAGAAACATGAATATTTAAGTTATTACTTAAATTTATTCCCCATTTAATCTATGAATACATCAGACTCAAGGTCCAGGAGGTCTTTAATTTGCTCGTTTAGTACAAGCAGCAGTCAAACCCCCAAAGTCAGACATAATGTCAGAGTAAGTCTCACATTTGAGAACCTAGTCATTAAATGTTGGGAATCTTTGCTAAAAATACGGCATGTCATTATCAGTTTGAAATGAATCAGCAACTTTATATAATTGACCGTTTGGATCAAATAAAATGCCACCTACATAGAGCCAACATACATGTCAGCAATGTTATGCTTACATCACATTGTGTCGTCTTGATATTTTTATTTGTTATATTTATTTTTCTCATAGCAATTCTTACTCTTTATTGTGTAACCCATTGAGCACCGACTAAAGGCCAAACTGCATTTCACCGCATATGTGACAAGTAACAAGTCCTGTATTTCAAAAAGAAAAAAAGGATTCATTAAATGTACAGTTCTATAACCCATTGAGTTATATTTATCTGTGTTTGCATAAAACTCTCACATAAGAGAACCACACAAGATGAAATCTCGCGCTCCTCCAAGTTAATGTTGCAGGTGTAATTATAGTTACACGTACTCTTTAGCCTCATCTAGTCTGTGCTTTGTTACTACAGCAACAGCTGAACCTTCTCCTGTGCATAGTGAAAAAAGGTCTGCCGTTTTCTCCAGACCAGTTCTACCAACTGCAGCAGTTTTTTGGCTTTTTGCTTCCTCTGCCCACCTCCACACGTCGCTACCCTTGGAGAAGGTGGATGAGCGGATGACTTCGGGAGCCATCCAGGCGTAGGTGCCGGCGGCGCTCATCTTGGTGGTGCGGTGCCACTCCCGAGCCAGCCCGAAGTCTGTGATCTTCAGAGTCTTGTTGCTGAGGTCCTCCATCTCGACCCTCTCAAGGATCAGGACTGAGGTGGCCGGTGAAGGGGGAGCGGGGTGATGCGATGGGGGTGGGGTGGTGGGGGGAGGATGCAAATAGGCAATGGGTTGACGGTAAAGTAAAAAAAAAAAAAGGGGGTTTCGGGTCACGAGGAGTGTAACGTTGGGAGGGGCAGCGGGAGGAGGAGGCCGCGACAAAACACAACGCATGTGGGAACGCAAAACATGGTGGATGAGCGAAAACGGGGGGCGGGAGGCCGCGGTGAAAGAATTGGAAGGATAAAAGCAGAGTAAAGAAAAGAGAGAGAAGTGAAGAGACAGTGAGCCACTATACGGCAGCGGAAAGCACAGTCGTGACATTTCAAACGAACAGCAATACTACAGAAATAGCCTCTTAGGCTCTAAAAAAACCACAGGCTCTCTCTCTCTCTCTCCCCCCCATTCAGGTCCACAGTGCCAGGCCATCTGCTGTGGCTGTGCCCAGTGGAGAGGGTGTGTCTGCAGGTTGCACTGCACATCAAGCGCCCCTTCATGTGCTTCTCATGTGGGTTCCGATGCTACAGACGCACTTCCCAAAGAAACCAAAACCCAGACGTGTGGCAAAAGAAAAGTCCTGCTCCTGTGTAGCTCAAGAGACGGAACATGAGACCCGCCCGGCTGATTCCCCCCGAGGCCCAACGTATGCACTTACTGTAATGCACAGTGCTTCAGATGAGGGCCTCTGCTAAGCGGCACGCTGCGTGAAAGGGAGGCTGAGACTACAAACCAGACCAGACCGTCATGGATTAAGTGTTTGCTGCCGTCACTCCCAAGTTTAATGCACCACTGAGGTTGTTCCGCATTCACGTCAGCAAAAGTAATTTGTTGGATGCTGCTGAGGAAAATGATTGAAAAAAATGATGTTCAGTATTCAAGTCACTCTGCTTTCAAATTTCACATTAATTTGTCAGGGACAAGACAAGTCCAAGACAAGATTTTAATTGCAAGACGTGTGCATGTATAACATTTGACCAGATTAGGTGAGAGTGTGTGAGTGTATCAGGCTGTTCGTATGGCTCCTACGAATGGGTCCAATATTTGTTTTGCTGACTACGGAGCAAAAGAATCGCTCACAATAACTTAATTGACTTGTACTAGAGTGTACTAGAGTGACAACAATACTGTCTGCAACCTTACTAGCTGCCCCATTCTGCTGTGCATCAGTACCGGGATGCTTAGAGATGAAAGCTTAGCCAATATGCCTCCAATAACAATGCTAACATGCCGATGTTTATTACAGAACGTTCTTCATCTTAGTTGATTATGCTCACATTAGCTAATAAGCAACAAGTCGTCTGAGGCTGATGGGAATGTAAATTGTTTGGCAGGTATTTAGTAGTGGAACAAAGTATTGGAAAACACCTGATGAATTAAAAATAAATGAAATCACAGGATCGACACAGTAATGAGTAATTAGTAATTAGCCTGCGTAAGTAATTTTAAGGGGGACCAAAGTTGTTTAGTATAGTTTACTTGAGTAGAACTAAACCACTAATTTGGGGCTATAGTGGTTACATCCGGTTACAGCGGAGTCCACGATAGCGTGATGTCAATCCCCTCCCTCATTCCCCATTTACTTTAATCTGGACAAAAACTGGTAAACGGTAATCTTCATCCGTAGAAGCCCAATGTTACTTAAACTGTTAAACTGTTACGGCTTTATGAGCCTTTGGGTATTTTGTAGACACCGGGCGTCATGATATTTCCACCAGCCACTTCCTCACCACCGCGATGCGTCACAGGGTGGAGTCTCCGCGTGCCACGTCCTCCAGAACCACTAGAGCTTCTCAGCCCAGCGGTCCAGACCACACAAAGAAAGAAAGGAACTCCAAAAGTCATATGTAGATTTCCTAAACTGTTATATCCTAATGTGTCATCTTTTTATTTTATACGTGACAAACAAAGAACTCCTTATTTTAAATCACGTAAAAACTACAATTAGGTTCATGGGTGAGAAAGCAAAGACAAACTCTGGATAAGACCCGGGCTGTGGATTAAAAAGTAAAAGTGTGGAGCGGCGTGATGTACGGCCCCCGAGAGATCAGGATGGCCACTGGTTAGCCGGATTTAACACCTTAAAAGCATCCTATTGGGGGTGAAGCGCTTGAGCTGATCATCGGAGAAGAACCAATGGCAGGCGAGAAGCTGTCTGTGAGGGTAGTCGGAGCCACCAATAGGAAGGAGGCTGGGGCGGAGCGCCGGACAAATCCCCAGTAATAGGCTTGGGATTTAGGGGATCCAGTTGGGTAAAATGCAAGATTACAACTGCTTCACAAATATACATGCAAACTCCTTTTGCTTTCTGCTCTATTTTACCAACTGTGATTATTATCAGTGAAAATCACAGCGTGCAACAGAAAGCCTGGACGAAACACGAGACTTCATCATTCCATTACAGGATACTGCACGTTTTGCCACATGCCGGAAACTATGCAACAAACGCACTAAAGACACAAAGGACAATTGACAAGTATAGTTAATGTTGATCTGATTTAGTGGAGCCTCTAATTCGAAATTGTTTTGAGTGGTTCAGAAGCTGCTAGAACCCGCGGTGATGTTTCAAAGTACGTTCTAACTACAAATCTACAATTTAAAACACAGAATTATGAAATATGATAAACTGATTGGTCAGTGAACAGAACCATGATCTTTTACTTTTACTACTTACGTTTAGGAATGTATCATTTCAAATAATTTCTCAAGAGAAAAGTTAAACATCCTTTTGTTCCAGCTTGCGTGTTATGTGAGGGATCACTGTGTTATCACTGTGTCCCGATTATATATTTTGAAACTTTAAAAAATAGGAGATTCCGACTGTTGTTCAGAAATAATAAGCAATGTGACGTCTTCACATTCACACACTGGAAATTACATTAGGAATTGGTCAATATTTTCCAGTCTTTTTAAAAAAGAAATCCCAAAACCAATTTGAAAACTCCACAAACAATTCTCATTTTAATAATAACAATCAGAATGGTAGGTTATTCGTTATCTGCGGACTCAAAAGCAAGCAGAAACCCCCACGCTGTGGACGGAGAACGAGAGCGAGGGAGACTTACTGTTGCTGGACTTGAGGTCCCGGTGAATAATGGGGACGATGGCCTGGCTGTGGAGGTACAGTATGCCCCTGGCGATCTGCACTGCCCAGTCCACCAGCGTGCACGGAGGGATGCGTTTCCCAGCGAGGGCCCGATTGAGGGGGCCTCCCCGGGCGTACTCCATGATCAGACACAGGTTGGGCTCCTGCAGACAGACCCCCAGCAGACCCATAATGTTGGGATGGTTGAGCATGGCGAAGAGTTTGGCCTCCTGGCGCACGCTCTCCAGAGTCTGCTCCGGGTCCTCGTCGGGGTCCCGCCGGGCGGCCTTCACCGCCACCTCTGAACCCCGCCACACTGCGCGGTAGACTTTTCCAAAACCGCCCACGCCGATGATTTCGCCCAGGGTCAGCTCCGAGAAATCAATCTCCAGGACTGAGGAGAGATGCAGGGGTAAAAGGTCACAGATTCAGAGAGGCAAAACATTTACAATCTCATCCCTCAACATTGCTCTTCATAACCTCAAAACCAGGTCATTGAGCTGAAGGATGCCTTCACTGAGCCACCCTGCTGCCCCAAATAAAGGATGGAGAAACTCCCGCTCCTGGTATCACAAAAGTGTGAGTATCGTGCTCAAGTCTGGCTGGGACGTGAGGAGAAGGAAGAAAGAAAGAAACCATTTAAATGACAGGTGTGTGTGAGAGATGTTGTTAACAGCAGGCTTTATTTTTATGGCTGTTTCTAATTCTGCTCACTCTATCTGTCCTTAAGTCTTTCTCCCGTGTTGTGGATCCCTAACCGTCTGCTAGTGGTGACGGTGCAGACTGACCTTGATGAATATTTCAGGTGGGTTGTGAAAATAGGCCATCTTCTGCAGAGTATGAGGAGATGAAAAACTAGCAAAGACCTAGACAGCCAACAAAGAAAGCTGAGGCGGTGCTAAAGTGCAACCTTTATTTGCCCGTTGAAGCTGATGCACACACACGCAGGATTTGTAACTATCGGCCGGTGGTTTTGCTGCTGAAGAGCAACTGTTAGCACACAGCTGGCACAGAAGTGTTTCCTAGTTTCCATATAAACTGCTTCTGCTTACTGAACCTGGCCTTGCCTGCACGTTTAGCCCCAGGAGCGTTTCTCCGCAAGCACAATATGACATGTCTTTCTACCTTGCAGCGCAGTCTTGCAAACACACTATCAAGCACCATGACATTGCAACGCATATCACGCCACTGCAATTCCTTATGGCTTTATCCAATGGCAATATTTGCACACGCAGGACTTGCGCGCCCAGTTAACATGTTCCCCGTGCCGAGCACGTTGTGCAATGCAATTTGAGGCGGGGAGCATCACAGATTGCAGCTGCCTGCTGGCATCGACAAGCGGTGTGATGGAGAATGGTCCTGATGCTGTGAGGATGGGCCGGCCCGTTTCTAGGCCAACCGGAGAGCACTGCGCCCACCATGACACAGCATCACAACGGGCGTTTGTGTCTCCGGCCTTCTGACGAGAGACAAGCATGGACCCACACAGCAGCAGCGCCAGCCCCGTATTGGTTTAGCACAATGGGGGTACTCACGGTGCAGAGGAGGCACGGAGTACTGCTGCTCCGAGGTGTGCCGTGTCTCCTCCGGGATGCCGTTCCCGTTGCTCACATAATTGGACGGGAAAATGCCAACCCGGTCTGCTATCATCCCGGTCCACCAGCCCTCGTCCCCGGACACCAGGGAGTCTTTGGACAGCACCTCCACCAGGTCGCCCCTACGCAGGCTGAGCTCGTCGTCCGCGGTCGCTTCATAGTCAAACACGGCCGTCCAGAAGCCCCGCGCGGCGGGCGCCGCATCCGGCGCGGCGCTGATGGCATCATCCGGTCTCGGCCAGCGAAAAACATCTGCCTCTGCTTCTTCCGACGAGGAAACGCACGCCTTGGGACTCAAACGATTGTCCAGAGCGGGTTTGAAGACATCCATGGACGCGATCCATAGGAGCGACCTGGATCACTGGCAGGCGCATCCACCTGACGCGGCCGGCCGGCTGGCTGGCTGGCTGGCTGGCGGCCCGCGGCGCGCAGCGTCCGCACATGCAACACACAACGCTAAGTAGCGGCTAATCCCGCACACACACGCTGCAGGGAAACAGAAGCATCATTCTGCAGCATCGTCTGTCTGTCTGTCCGTCTGTCAGTCTTTCAGTCCCAGCTGGCCGCTAACAAAAACACGGCCCCAGCTTGATGGTTTCCAATGCACAATCCTTCACCCAATCATCGCCGCAACCCTTCGGATGCGGTCGTCTTTGTTTTAAGCCAATCGTACCAACGTGCGAATCGTTCCCGGTTTCCTATTGGCGGAGAGACACATCAGCGGCAGCTTAGGTCCCGCCCTCCGCTCAGCGTCAGTAGCTGGTCCCCTTCCAAGCAGCGCGAACCGGCTGCACGTCAATCAAACAAGGAAGCGTTTAGTTTTCTTCAAATTGTCTGCTTTATTTAGTTATTAACCCCCCCCCCCCCCCCCCCTAGCCACAAAAAATAAATGAGCAAAACATAACGAAATACTCAACTAATAATCAATTCCATGCATAATTCCCTGAAATAAAAACATAATCCATAGAAAGGAGATAAAAAAACAGTCAACATAACAAATAGTCAAATGAACAATCCCAACTATTTCAACGGTGTGATGAGAAGAAAAGGTGTGTGTCTTTGTGTGTGTGTGTGTGTGTGTGTGTGTGTGTGTGTGTGTGTGTGTGTGTGTGTGTGTGTGTCAAAAGTCTCTCCTGTTTGTAAGAGATTTTAAAAAATGTTACTTTAACAAAACACTAAAGTAACGTGGTGAGACATCGGGAATACACCCCGAGCTTCGGGGACATTTAAACCTGTGCTGCACAAACACTGGAGATGCAATAACAGTGTTTCACATGTTTGGTCTCACTTTCTCACTCATTTCTTTTTGCATTTTGGGGGTTTGTATTTATATGAATGGATACAGGACATCATCAGTGTAGTCACACAGAGGTGGTGAAGTGAAAAAAAAAAGGTATTAAGACTATGACGTATAAGACAGCATGTGACGTGTGTAAGGAAGCCCATTGGTTGCTGGGAAAGTTAATGAAATAAAAAAATAAAAATGCTTCATTATGTTTACATAATTTATGAAAATTATGATAAACTGAATTAAAATGTTTAGGAGTAAAAAAAACAGCTTACGTTGTAGTTTTAAAAGCCAGAATGAGGATATATAAAATTTGAAATTTAAGACAAAGTGTCTGAAGACAAAGTGTATTGAAGGGAGAGAGACAGGACCCTTTGATAATTATTTAAGGTTTTATGTATCAGAGAACCCCAGAATGAACTACAGATTTGAACAAAAGCATCACTCAGTGACTGTTCCACAGCTTACAGGACCGTCGTCTCTCAACTAATTAAAAAAGCAGGAAATAGGTGGTGTGACTTAACTCTACCGGGGTGGTTTGTTAGATATTGATGCAAATATTCAGTTCTGTTTATTTAATATATGCAGTGAAGGGCAAAATACAGATATGAAGAGCATTGATATAAATGTATGAGATAACTGGTTTCAACAAAATTTACAAAGAGTATCTATACAAAATGAAAAGAATCACACCTCCATGTGACAATTTGAAATTTGAGACACACGTAAGTGCTTTTTCACTGCAGTGTAATGTAAAGGGAACGTGCACTGATGCAACATACAGCTGTTGTTTTGGGAAACCCCAAATAACATGATTACTTGGAGATCATGTTAAGTTTTTTGTGAGTGTTGAAGATTCGGTTTGTGTCTTTCTCCAAAAAATCGTTTCTAAATCTAAAAATTCCTGATACAAGACTGGATAGTGACGACACGCCGAATAGTCGGATTCAAAGACAGACGATATCGGCTCGAGTTTTAGTCAGTACGACTAGCGTTTGCTTGTGAACCAGAAAGCTGCTTTTATTCCACAGTAAAATAAACAAAACACTTTAATCTCAAAACACTTTTGAGCTTTGGAAATTGGCTTTTTTTTTTTTTTTTTTAATTTTGACATCTCATTGAAGGCCAGAAAAAAACACCCAACCATTAAAATATGTCCCTCTCTGTTAAACAAAGAAGTAAAAAAGAACAGTATTCAACCGATCAATTAAGCACTCAGTGTCTCACAACATCATCAGTCCAATTTCTAAACGTCGATGAAAAGAAAAAAAATGCTGCCTTAAGAGATGACATGGATAATAAATATTTTTGCTCTTTTACAGAATTAAGACATAATGACAGATTCAAATGAGAGCTCCTGTCAAGAAGAACCTCACCTGGATGCACACACACACACACACACACACACACTAGTGTGAAGAGGACGCAGCCTGGCAACATGCACGGCACACAAACTCACACTGGCCGCCGTTCAGAGCATCACACCCCCGGAAAATGAAAATCAAGAGTACTACCAAAGAAACAACACAAACAGCCTCTAAAGGCAAAGATAAAAATAGGAACACTGGTAATTCTGTGACATCATCAACACCTGCTGAACTCAATATTGAAAATATTTCAGGATTTTGAACAAGGAAAAGGGCGACAAAGTGAGCCCCAAAAAAGATAAGATAATAAAAACTGGCTCAGATGAAGCTGTAGATGGGATGTGAGACTTGTTGACATGCCCCCCCCCCCCCCCCCCACCCTCCCCACCCCTCCCCAGGACACCTATGCCGTGTCTATGTAAACATACACTGAATATTATGTACATAATGTGGGTTTTTCTGTTGCCTCTCAGTGGGACAGTCGGCCTAGTGTCCTCCCTCCTGTGCAGCAGTGGATCCATCACTTACTCTGCATGTGTGTGTGTGTGTGTGTGTTTACGTGTGATAGGCCGATAGAGACGCAGTGGGGTGAGCAGGTTTGGTCCAGGGCCTGGAAAAGGGCATCCGATTCAACCACAAGACGTATTTACAACACTGCCCACCACAAAGGAAGAACACTGAGGACGAAGAGGAGGGGGAAGAGCGCTACGTGGACAAATAGAAGAAGGGAGGACCACAGGGACTACAGATTGACACCCCCCCTCGCGGCAACACAGTGTCACTGCCACTTACTCACTCCTCCGTTTCTTTTTCTTAGCAGATGTTTCCTCACACCTCTTTGGTAATCTCTGGTGGTTTTAAATTAGCCAAGAATGGACTTATTATATATTAACGTTTATTCAAATTAAATTAGAAGCATATTTTTCTACTGCTTACTACTACTGGGAGTTCCAACATCCATCATTTGTGGGGGGGGGGTTCTATTGTTTTCATAAACAAAGCACCAGTCGTGTGTGAACCAGCATTTAGTATTCTTTCATATTCACACCCACACCTGCTTCTTCTCTGAAGAGTTTCCAACCAAAATGAGCAGCACTGACCCCCCCCCCCTCTTTACATAATGAATAAAGTAAAGGCTGTTATGGAAAAGTGTTGAGCCAAATGTGAGTCATTTTTCTAAAGCGCAGCCAACAAAATACCTACAACAGACCACTCAGATTTTGTATTTAATTAGGATATATTTTTGTTAAAGCTGCACTAATTGTAAAACTCAAAAGTAAGCTGTCACCCTCATCAATCAAAGGTAGTATCCAGCCTAAAAACCAACCTAAAAGCCCAAAAACCAACAAAACAGTGCTAAATGTGAAAATCTGACTAACATCTATAGGTTTAAAAAAAACCACGACTCCCTATGATTGCAAACGCTGGCCCACGTCATCTATTGCAGGTACAATGTCACCAGGCAACAGTTATTGCAAATCTAGGTCAACAATCCAGACACACCAAACAATGCTGACGGTTTTAGTTTTATTTGTTGTTAAAATAATGAAGGCTTGAACTTGTTTCTAAAAAGTAGAACCCAGGAACATGAGTAACAATAGAAACCCTCCACCTTGTGCTCAGCAGCCGCTAGCAGTCAGCGGCGTGAGGACTTTGGGTTACTTCACCTCAGCACATACGGGTACCACGCAATAAAATCCAGGCGCTCGACACAATGATGCTATGCCGCCCTGTAAGGTTATCAAATGCCAGATGTCGTGTTTTGTGCTGCACCCGAGTGGCCAAAAATATATTAATGCAGCTTTTTAAAATGGTTAGGCACCATTGTAGGAAGAAACCCTTAAGTTGAGCAAAGAGCTGTTCATTGTGGGCGGCTGCAGCGAACGCCTCTCCCTCCGCAGGCTCTCTGTTCAGTCCATAGTGACACCTTTATTGTCGGCCTTTTGCACGTGCACAAGTAGAAGGCTCCATAAATAGAGCTATGCAGCAAAGTGCATGGAAGGAAAAGTACAAAAATACCTTTGCATTTATCTCTGCAGCAATGCAGTTTTTTTTTCTTTCTTTTTTTCTGACTCAAAAGGTGAAAACTCGAGTGAGACCAAGATATCCATAAATAAATAAAATACGATGGCATACTTTTACCTAGGCAAGATACATAACTCTGTGAAAACATCATTCCAGTATATAGTTAGACCCCCCCTCCCTCTCCCATCCGCTCTTCCACAGCAATCCTCTGTTGCTGAGCAGACGGTGACCACATTTAAACAAATATTCAAAATATACAGAAAATATGGAAATATATATCATATATAGATACGTATAGAGTACGGAAGTAATGTTCAGGGTAGTTTGACCGTGTCCAGCTCTTCCTCCTCGACTGTTTGAATGGTGATTTGTCGGCCTGTGTGAACACTGCACTCCTCCTCATCCTCCTCTTCCTCCTCCTCCTCTTCTTCCTCTTCGTGTAATTTCTGATAACTCTGCAGTGCTGCTTAGGAAACTTAGCAAATAAAAATAAATACTATGACTCCATCCCACTGTCACCCTTTTACAATATCATATTTAGCAATTCTTTAACATAGATCAGAAAATAGTCCTCTTATCCCCTCTTTGTGTGTGTGTGTGTTTTACTTTTTTTTTAAATTTATTGTTTGCATTTTTATCCCCAAAATACCTTTTTTTTTCAAAAGTCGTTCTTGCCAGATGTTGAGAAAAATATAGACCTCTGATTAACTCATCTCTCTCCAGATATTACTGCGGTCTCTTCCAGTGGAATGCCGGACCACCTCGGCATCTCCTGGACTCGGTGGAAACCCAATCCCAACTGTAAGCACACTCGCTTACTCCGTCAGCACTAGAGGGCAGGACACTCACCTCCAAGCATCCTTACAGCAGGGGTTGAGGGAGAGAGACATAGAGAGAGAGAGAGAGAGAGAGAGAGAGAGAGGGGGAAAACCTTGGGTCTACCGCTCCTGTCGTTTCTAACATACAAGACTGACCCAAATTCCCCAGTGAGAATTTGGCTGTATTTGAACCGCTGCATGTTCTGTCTTTCCTGTTTAGAAACCCTCTATATGACAGTAGGTCTCCAGACTGGAGAAGAGGATGTAAAGGAACCACAGGCCGAAAAGGAAGGCTGACGTGGCCAGTCTGTGTCCCCGGGGCCCGCCCAGTTCTCCTCCGATATGCGCCCGGCGCCGGTAAAGCAGCACCGAGATGGCCAGGAAGGCGAAGATGGTGAAGAGAGTGACGGAGAAGGCCAGGGAGCCGGCTTCCACCACGAACGGCTTCCCCTTCATGTGCCAGTAGATAGCCGCCACCGACCAGGCCAGGCCGATTCCCAGGAAGACGTTGACGGCGTTGCTGCCGGTCACGTTCCCGATGGAGGCGTCTGCGTAGGTGTCCTGGACTGCTGATACCTTACTGGCAAAGGTGTCTGCGTAGGGAGAAAAGTCATCACATTCGGATTCAAATGAAGAAATCTTTCGACATCATCTTTTCCTGCCCACTTTGTATAATATACAATATATAATATAATAATATATTGCTAATGGAACTTGATATTGTTGTAAGACATATACTTTGTTCACAGCTAACTATCTTGTCTAATTTATTTGAGAATTCCAGACCATTAAGATAATTATTATTGTTCGTGCTGGTTTCGTCTGTCAGTGTTTCCCCTCATTTGAACCAAGACCTTTCAGTTTTCTGAAGAAGATAAATTATTCATTCCACATTTTGGGGGCAAATGTTCATTTCCTGCCAAGTCCGCCTGCCACTCAAAATATAAATTACAGCAGCGAAGGCTGGCAATCTTCTCTGTGTTGGTTGTTTGTTTATATTTATACATTTTTTATTTTCAGATTGAACGCAGTGATGATTTATTAATGCTGCACACAGGACCTTTAATAAAAAATGTGCTGAGAGTGAAAGTTTTTAGTGACATATTGTTCCTGTCGGGTGAAAATGTCAGTTTGGAGGAAATAAGAATATCAGCCGTCTCGCTGCCAAATCATGTTTGAAAGAGTCTCAAAAGCTCAGCGTCAAAAACAAAACGGCAGACGACACATTTTCACATCACAAGCACGACTAAATTAAACAAGATTCTTTCCTCACCTGGGACAGACGTGCCGAGTGCAACGAACACCACAGCGGTGACTGAGTCCTTGAGGCCGATGGTGCAGCCGAAGTGGGACGCCAGGTCGCCGATGACGGCCGTCAGCAGGCCGATGAGCACGATGGACACGATGAAGCAGGCCCAGCCGTTCAGGTAGTCCGTGGGAGGGACGCAAGCGAACAGGACCTTCCAGAAGACGGTGAGGAAGTGCATGACGTAGTCGAAGCAGGACGGCAGCCTCTCCTCCCCCGTGTCCTCCTCATCCTCATCTGATTGAAGGGAGTTTAAGGATCGATTAGGGAGGGTTAGGGGTGACAGAGGGGTCGAGGGGGAGAACAACGTTCTCATAACGTTCACTTTTGTCTGGTTGCTGTCTGGTTACTGTTGTGTGTATAACAAAAAAACAACGTATACATGTTTTACATGTGAAATGCACATAAAGCCGACAGCGCTCTGTTATAAATGAGGTTGATTTAAGAGAGGGCTGTTGATGGACACAACAGCGCCACATGCACTGCTCAAGGGAAATGGAAGAGCTGCTTACAGCCGGGGAAAAAAACAGGTTGTAGCACGGATTCAGGACGCATCATGTTCAAAGGGACACGTTGCTGTTGGCTAAAGGTCACAGACTCGGCACCACTCCCTCCATTTGTTCCGTCAAAGCAGAGCGCGCTCCCCGTGCGCCCCGCTACATAAAAGTGTCGTCTTGGAACAGCTAAATATTTAAATGTGAGTGGTCATCCTCCTTAGGTGGAGGAGCCGGGTCGTCCTCTGTGGGCCAACTGCTCCCAGGACCCTCAGTCGGACGGCAAGGACACTGCGCTGATTCAAAGCGTCAGGCCGCGTGAGTCGCATGCATTTTTCAGCCGAGGGTGGACCATGAAAAAATAAAGAGCCCCGCTGGATTAAATATTTCAAGCTCCAAAGTGACAAAGCCCGGCCATCACGGCGGCCACTACGCGGTGCAGGGACTGCACTGCAGGCTCATCTCATGCCGCATGTCGCCCCCGACATGATGGATGAGTTTTCTCTAGACGCGCGTGAGATTATTCCGGAGCTTCAAGTGCTCTGCTTTCCGGGAGGATTTCAGCTAAATGAGTTCTTGGAGGCTCACACTGACGCCAACGTGTTGGGCCTGCGGTTGGTGGCGGCCAATATTTAGAGAGGATGGTTTTCAATATGCTGAGATTTAGATGAGAAGGTAGATACCCCTCATCCATCTGTAGATGAAGCTACCGCTGCTAGAAAGTTAGCTAAAAGCAAAAAGGAAGACGGCGAATAAGCAACTGCAGGATTCATTATTCCTTTAATGGGGACATATTGTGTGCTTTTAGGGACATACATGTATTTTGGGTTGCATGTTTGTATTAATATAATGAATATCTGCATGTGTCGGTCTGACTACACCTGTATTCTCCATCCGTCTTTCAAGCTCAGTTTAACAGGTGTCTCTTTAAGCCCCCCCTCCTGAAAAAGGCCAGTCCGCTTTAATTGGTGCACCGTTGAAAAGGTCGTTCTCAAACCGTATTTTGTAATAAGCCTAATTGTGACATAGGAAGGCCTGTTTAAGGATTGTTAGTGGGTACTTTAGAACCCCAGACGTAAAAATGAGAGATGACAAACACCGGAGAGCTTGTTAAGTGGGGCACACTGATATTCCAGTGTATTTGCATGCAGCCCAATAAGCCAGAGCAGGAACCACGCAATGTCCACAGTACCTGCACTGACTGTAATGGCCTCCATGAACTGGTCTCTCCAGGAGTTGGTTCCCACCACCAGCGCCAGGTTGGTCTTCTTGATCAGCTTGTCCACCGTGCTCTGTGATGCAAGAATGAAAGCCATCCGTTATTTAAGTTCAGCGGCTGCTTCAGCAGAAGAAATAAACGCGCTTCGCCACACGATGGCAGTGGCATCCAGTGCCAGGCAGCGGAAACCTCCGTTGAATTCATGATGAAGCCACGCGGCGGAAAACAAACATGGTGGGTATGTCGTTTGTTTGGGGAGGGTTAGAGAATGCACTACGGACCACATCTCCAGAAATGCATTCCTGTGGGTTCCAAGGTGTCTAAAGAGCAACTGCTTCTGCATCTGTTATCTGTTTGACTGCACGGAACACACTATTTCCAGCACCACTATTCACACTACCTTCCATGAGTAATCTTTCCCACCTTAAACTCGTATGATTCCTCAATAATGACTTCCAGCTTGGAGTGTTCCCCCAGCACCGGTTTTCCCATCTCTGCGATGCGCCTGGCCTCCTCCTCGTCTGACGTCATCTTCCTGTCTGTTACATCTGAGCGCGGAGGGCGAGAGAGCAAAACACAAAGAGGAATCACAGCGGGAAAGATGGCAATAAAAATAAGGGGATGCTCAACTGATTAGCATGTTGCATTGCACAGCGTACAAACAAAACATCAGAGCGATGCTTCACTGGTATCAATTTGAATGTATTCAACCTTCAGTTCAGGCTCTACAGAGAGACAAGATTGGTTTCCTATGGCGTATTTCATGCAGTCATGTATGTCGCAATCAATCAGTGCAATGTTGTCTTCTGACTTTGTTAGTCAAAGGTTAGACAAACACTCATGCACTTCCCGTTGTTCTACTTTTATCCAGACGAGTTGGAGTTTTCCATTGACTTTCAAGTTCCTAAAACATGGTGAAGAGCACTTGTGTTAAATACGTCAGTGAAGAAATACTTGGTTCTAAAAGGTCTGACATTCCCCAAAATGCCAAGTCACTCATTTGTTTTCGAGATACCGTCTCCAACCTGACATTGTGCAGATGTTCACTGACTTCTTTTAGGGCGGCGGGGGGGGGGGGTCTGTTATGGTCCCGCTAATCAGCAGTGAGGGATTTAAGACTGAGACTGTTAAATGTTTTAAATGTCACATTAAACTAATAGCTAAAACTTTCACTTTAAGTTGATCGAAGAGGGTTTTTTTCTGTGGAATGACAGATTTTTAAAAAACGGTGAACCTCAAACAGTCTGCATGACTGCACACTACGAATACTTCCACGGCCTTCCGTTTAAAGTGAGTCCTCCTAAAGACCCGATCAGCCCCTCTCAGATGTGTCCTCGGCCGCTCGGCTCTAGAACGAAGCCACGATGCTTCACGGAGCTCCTGAGCGCACGGCGACTCCACGACGAGCGCCATGACATCAATTCCGTGCTGTCAAACTCTATCAAGAAGGAGCGGCTGTGCATCCAAAGGGCCTCTCATCCCGCTCCGCCTGTGTGTGTGTGTGTGTGTGTGACAGCCCCACTGAGCCACCTGGTGCAGAGACCTTGTCATCTCCTATACGAGTCCCAGCCTGCTGCTCTTTGCTGACAACACGCTTACCGTTAAATATTAATGATGCCATTAAAGATCACAGCCCGGTCCCCCCCCCGATAGGAGGGAGTGTCCGCAGGAAAGCACACGCACACACACATGCATAATATACCAGCGCATGAGTTCTGCCACACACACACACACGTGTACTTTTAAGCTAAATCAATTACACACCCGAGACAGTGTGCACCCTGAAGTCTTGACAGGACTTCTTTTGCTCATGTTTAAAAATTGATTATCGAGCCCTTCGCCTGCTCCACACTTCACTTCTACATGACACAATTTCCTTCACAGGGGAGAAGTTAAAATAAATTAATAATAACCCACTACCACAAAAGGTAATTAAATTTCTAATATTAGATCTGCAAATTATTTTACGGTTATCAAGTCTTAGTATCTTGCTTTTGACTGGAGAACATGATTTATGGATTTATGATTAATTAAATCTGCCGATCCATCTTTAAGTGCGACAGAGTGCTGCAAAGGAGCGTGTTGTTTGTCACGGTGACAGCAGAGGTGGATACAAAACACTTGTATGCAGTTTATTTGTAAGTGTGGTGCAAAATCTTCATCTGCATCAAAATAAACCACCCAAACCGTCGTCCTCGGAGATATCACATCATGCAACCTGGAGCCTAAAATTCAAGGCCGATGTTGAAACCGCAGCAAACACACAGAAAAAGATGGTCAGTGGAGATGCTGAGGGGGGAATGGGCAGCTTACCATCAGCTAACAACAGGGCTGTGGAGGAGAGGAGGGAGACATGGAGAAAACAGAAAGAGGATGAGCAGCAGGAATGGAAGAAATGTGCATTAGGACGAAAGGAGGAGAGAAATGCAATGACCTCAGAGAATAGCTGAGTATTGACCCTTTGTTATAAAAATATACAGCACGAATTATTCACTGAGATGAGGGAGGGAAAGGAATGTGGTATTTGGTATGTTTTTATGACCATAAAGGCACAATCAAAGTTTATTAAAAAAGATGCTCAATAGAAAAAAAAGGAAAAAAGGCAGGATAATTTGTACGACATCAACTCACCTTTATTAAACACACTTTCTCCATGATGACACCCTTATTAACCCTCACCTAACTAGCATGAAATAGTGTTGGACCAATATATGTATTTGTATAATAAATATAATATAAAATAATAATATAATATAAAACCTTCTAACTCATGCAACACATTCACACACTTACACAGAAACAATTGACTTATTTCACGAGGACTTATTATATAACACTTTAAAAATAAGTTTAAAAAAGAACAACAACAGTTAAAGAACAAAAGAACATGATGCAACACGAGATATAATCTTATACTAAATCGCCAAAGAACAGGACAAGCAGAAAAACGTTGGCTTTGAAGAAACTGAAAGGAATAAAATACAGCAAACAAATAAACAGGAAAGAAACATTTCAAGACAAACACAACTAAAAACAGTATTGCGTAATATTCAAAATAACCTTTAGGAAAGAGCCAACTTCTAGTTGGGAAATGTCATGTTCCTTTTCTGTTTCATCCTACATCAGATAGATTTGCTACATTGTTAAAATGACATTATTGCTTATAGTCCCGATAACGAGTTTAGGGTTTCAAAATAAAGATCCAGCGTCGCCCCTGGAAGATGTCCAAGGAGGGAGCCGTCTCATTTTGAATTTACCCGGTGAGGTTTCCTCCAGTTTATCTCAGGGTCTCTAAGAAGATTCTCCTGTCATCTCAGAGATTAAAAGACCTTTCATGTGATATTAAGCTACACAAATAACCTTTTCACTGGAGCAGACTGAGGTTGTAACTAAAAGATGCACTTCATCACTCACTCAGCCAGATGTGCTTTTCATTGGAGACGAGGCTGCAAATCACCCAGTTACACCCAACCGCAAACATCCACATCAGAAGAAAGCTATGCTGACAATGGAGGTGCCTCATGCAGACGCCCAGGACGACCACGCTGCCTTCCTCAGCATTTTAATCCAGACTGCCTGGTTGTTTATCTGCGTGCTGTAGTTGCAGAGCAGATCGGTGACACAGCACGTCACGGTCAGATGCCTTTGGCAAAGTCTAAACCGCAACTAAATGATACGATTAAGAAAAGAAGGAGGCCCAACAAGTCGTCCAGCAGGGCGGCTAATTAGGTGACAAGATAAATCAAAAGAGGAGGAAGAGACGGGATAAAGCCAGAGATGCACATCGACAACTCTCCCTTTTCACGTCTTCATCATAATTCTTTTCCTTATGAAACCGGGACACTTGAGGGGCAAAAGGAAGCTGGTTACTTCTTCCACGAATACGTCTGATTTTCTAAAACTCTTTCAACAAAAGAAGATATACTAATGGACCTGTTTGTGTTGAGAGCAGCTTATCAACTTCCTAAATCCAAAGCGGCCCACAGTTCATCACCATAAGTGCGTTAATTGCCGTGGCCGACTTCCTTCATTATCATCAGTACGAGGGCCGAGCCGCGCTGATCCGGCGCCGCACCGCGTGCAGCCACTACTGTGCAGCCAATGCCGTGCGCTTGTCGGCAGGGTGCAGCGTTACACGCTAAGGAAAAAGTACCAGCGTGCCTTTAAAGTGAGTTTTTACTAAATCAGCAGGAAGTTGAGGCCTTTGGCATCGTTTGTTGAGCCTCAAGGGGACTGAATGTTCAGCGTGGACATAAACGCGCACAAGTCTTTAATCACTGAAATCACCAAATCATTAATTAACTGATTTCACCGCAATAAAATTCAGCACGCACACAAAGACGCAAATAACAAAAGACTTGCACATACGATTTCTGATAAGGAAACACACAAACAGAGGTGTTTGAAAAGCATAATAACCATCACACAACCCAGAAGGTTGTCATTCTGCCAACAGCACAGTTGTGAAAGGGAAGATTAACCAAAGAGATGTAATTGGAGGGGTGGAGGACTGTTGTGTGTGTGTGTGTGTGTGTGTGTGTGTGTGAGAGTGGAGGGGTAGGGTGGTGTGTTTAACCGTTATCATCAGCGTGTTTTCCTGCGCGCTCGGCCAAATCAGATCTGTCTCGTTACAAAAGAGTGAGTCCCTTTCTGGCTCACACTCTCACACTCACACACACACACACACACACACTCACACACACACACACACACGCACACACACACACACGCACACACGCACACACAGAGGCCGGCTCTGAGTCACAGCATCAATAGAGCCCCTAAAGCTCGCCTCCTGTCCCCGCAGCTCATTAAGAGAGAATCATCATTTGACTTATGAGGGCTATTCTGGTTTTGCCGAGGCCTGCAGGGTGATCTGCGCCCAGAGCTGCATGTACTCACAACGAGAGGAAAGAGGTACACAAGATGGAGACTCTGGTGGATGCATAGTGGAAGGAATGATGAGACGGCTTAATGGATTTATGGAGCAACAGAGGGATGTGAATATATGGGGTGGGAGGGACGGGTGGAGGAATTGGTTGGAAGGGTGGTACAGGTAACAGAGGCGTGCAGGAAAGATGAATGATGTCTTTGTGAATGGATTTATGGATTGATAGAGGAATGGACTGATAGGGGGGATTGCCAATAACAAGAGGGCAGAAGAGGAACCGAGAATATAGGAGGATTATTAAAGGCAAGATGGGATGTGGAGGGAATATACACGTAGCACCATGGATGGATGACTGACTGAGAGAGAGGAAAATTCAGATATTGGAGGAGGAAAGAGAGGATGAATGGAAGAGGATGGAGAAATAATGTCATGAGGTGTGGAAGGAATCTGAGTCATGGAAGAATGGCGTCTGACATGGCGCTCTGGCCCAGAGCGTCACACAGTCACAGCAGAGCCACCACGGGCAGTACGCCTTCGGGATTACATTCCAAAGGGGTTCCTTTCAAAGGGCCGGGCTCTGTCCACAAAGGGCTCATTGACAGGTAAGAGGATAGAGGGATGAAAGGCCGGTGGACGGTCAGGGGAATCAAAGGGCAAGGAGCAAAGGAGCACGTGTGGCCTGCTGCGTGGACGGAAGAGGTACACAGACATGAAAGGATAACGAATGTCTTTCCTCCAATCACGGAGCTTCATTAAAAAGACATAATCTACTGAAACGATGGTAAGTCATCACTCTCCCTAAGGTGCACACACACACACACACACACACACACACACACACACACACACACACACACACAGACGAATGCACGGATGAGGATATTTATACACAGACTGTACATCCACCTGCAGACATATTGGCTCAGACTGTTTCCAATCAGAGTCTTTCCTGCAGCTCAGAGCGATGTGTTAAATAACAACGGTTCAGGCGTCGCCGGTCTGCACCGCGACTCGCACCAAACACACACACACACACACAGTCGGAGAGAAGCAAGATGACAAAGACAAATGCTTCGGCTGCCTTTATTATCTTTCAATATGCAGGCCGTGTAACGCGTCCATCATGTTGTTGTGCTCTATCCATGTTTCTGACGGCATGGAATCGGAAGGAGTCAAAATGCTAAGTACACACCATACTTCATCTTCTGAGGCAGCGCCGCTAGACTGAATGAACTGATAATTCAACTGAATGCTGGATGATTTCACTCCAGCTTCCTGATGGACGTCTTTCACGGATGAAAAGCCACGTTTTTAATCTTGCTGGGCTAATTAAAGTTGCTACGTGTAGCATTTTGACATCGACAAATATCTGTAACATCCATCTTGAGATATTAGGGTAATTACTGTAAACAAATACTATCTTTGTGAAGAAAATTGGCAGCTTCTAGCAGTAACAACGCTCGGTATTTATGTTGTGAATGAGTGGAGGTTGAGTCTCGCCTGAAAACTGGGGGTTTGCTTTATGGCACAAAGCGGAATGAGGTCACTGCTTCTTCCGGAACAAACTCAAGGTTGATCCTTTCTCGTCACTTTAGTTCTCAGTAAAGTACCTTGAACAATTACTTTGTGATGTTTTTTAACAGTACAATGCAACCACATGGAGCATATTCTCTGCTCGGGGACTTTTCTTGTCTCTCTAATTGGCCTCTCTGTTAAAGGAATAGTTTGAATGAACAGATTGGTACCCGTCTTAGGTCTAAGTTACATAATGAACTATAGTCAGTTGACTTAGCTTCACACAAACACTGAAAACATGGAAACAGCCAGCAAGAATGACCCTGCCAATTTCCCCACATGACCCCTAACACAAGATGTAACATAGTGAAATGTGTACGTTTTGTTACCTTTGGAAGAAGCCACGCTGGCCGTTTCCCCCAATTTCGGTCTTTGGATGCTGCCAGTAGTTCCATTTTTACAGTGCAGACGTGAGAGTGTTATTGATCTTCTCGTCAAAGTCTCTGTAAGAAAGTAATTACGCATATTTCCCAAAATAAACTGTTACTTTACGAAGCAGAAAATAAATCATTTCACCATGAGGTCCCATATTTGGTTTAATGTGCATATGCCTCATTTCACATGGGACAGTTCACATATCAAGCTCTCGTTCCTCACGCTATTCCTCCCTCAATCTCAGGTGGTCCTCCCTCCACGGCAGGGTCCCTCCCTCCATCCTTTCCCTGCCTCCGTCCCGTTTCTTTTGTCTCTCCCCATCTCTGCACACAAATCCTTCTTCCTCTCTACTCATCCCTCGAGTTTGTGTTGTTTCTGGTTTCATTCCCCTCTAATGTATGTCTCTGGCTCTCTCATGTCCTCTATCTTCTGTTGAACTATTATTAACCGATATAAAAATAAAATATCAGCATAAGACAATACCTGAAACTTCGGTTTCATAGCAATTTATTGTGCTCAAATTGTCCCAAAGGAATGACTTCCAAGACGTCTTTGATGAATGTTCTACTTGTCAGCCGGTTTCTTCAATAAAGAATAATTGTAATTGATTTGCTGATTATTATCTGGATTAGTTTTTTGTTGTATTCGATTTCAGAAAACAGCAAAAAGAACGTACACTGTTGTTACGTGGCTGTGTGATTTCCCTGTCTCGAATGCACATATATTCAGTTTATAATAATATAAAAAGGGAGATGTCTTTGGTGTATTTCTGCTTTGCAATTTACTCAAATACTGAATTACTAAGACGGTTTCCCATCTTTCCTGGAATGTGTTGTCTCTGTGCTCCACAAAGGATTTACATCTTCATCGGCTCTAGACATTCCTGAACCACATACTGACGTGTGTGACTATTTAGCGTATCATCTTTGGTTGGCTTGCTGGTTTACTCATTTATAGAGTCCAAAACAACAGAATGTGTCACCTGATCTGTACACCCTGCCGCTTCTCCTCCCTGGTATTAGCAGAGAGTGTAGCATTAGCTAACACAACAACTATTTGGCCACATGTTACACTGGACAGTTCGTCAGACTGGATGTTGGCTTTCCTCCTCTGTACTGTATGGATTTGTTCATGGTTTACAAAAGCAAATTGTATTGGATCATCTACATTTTATAGTGTGTGTTTATTCTGTAGAATAAACTTGGATTGTTGTTTTTGAGCGCCCCCACCCCGACGGTTTTCGCCCTGGGAGGCTGAATTGTGTCGTTGGAGTGATTGCGAGTCTGTGAGAATGAACGTGAGGATGCATTAGCGCAGGCGGTAGCACTTGTTGCAGATTTGCTCTTGTTTCAATGTGCTTGGTTTGCAGGGATGTAACTTGACCACGGCTTGTACAGGCAGAGCAATTAAAGAAAACATTTTCAGCAGCAGTTGGTGGAATGATTACATTTTGACATGGAATAAAAAGCAAATGATGGAAACTTCACACGAGTACACATCTCTCTACCTCACTACCTCATGTCTCCTTTCCCCACACCTTTCTCTGCCTTTCACAAGCACCACTGCCCTCTTCTCTCTGCTGCTTTCATGCACCTCTCCGATTCGTCCGGTCCAGATGTCACGCTGCGCCGCGCAGATCAAGTGGAGACGAGCTCCCTCTACTTGTTAACAGCCTGTTTATTCTGCAGCCGTATCGGCCTCGCCGCTGTGTCAGCAGCAGGCAATTACAGAGCAGATTACCCACCCTGATAATGTCATCGGACCAGGCTTTACACTCAAAGACACACTCGGCGAACACACGCGAACAAAAGAAAGACACGTGTATGTACAGTTCACGAGCTCACTGCTCACTCACCAAGACTAAGTGGGCTTTTGCACACAAACTTTTAGCAGTGGCGGAAAGAAGACCAAGAACTAATCCCAAATACTGCCGCGGTGGATTTCAATATTATAGATTTTTCATTCCGAACACCAGAGCCGTTAATAAAATATGAGGCAATATTTGAGATTAAGAGCCCAATTCTCTTGATTTCCCGTGAACGTTCACATTTTCACAGTTGGGCAGTGTCACGTTCCACTTCTCATATATAAGATATGAATACAGGGACAAAAAGCTACTGTTAAACTGTTATCTAACAGCAGCAGTTATTTTACCTGAAGGACAATTACATGTGGAGTGTTATAAATAGATTTTAAAAAAACATCATCAGCTGTAGTTCTTCCTGCATTCAGCGCCATCATTAGTTTTTGTTAACAGTGACATAGTTGGAGGCGAGGAAAAGCTACAGGCGCTCCTTCAGCTTGGATTCTAGTGACACCTCTGAAAAACTGAACTTCTCTGTGCTTTTACTGCTCTTCCAGCGGTGAAAATGGCCTCCCAGCACACGAGGGCAGAGAATGTCATGCCAAGGATACATTTGATAGTGCGTTGGCTGACGTTGGTCCTGCGGGGCCGTTGGCCGCATTAGCAGGAGGACGTGGCGTGTGGGGCGGCTGGAAGTCAGAGGCCTGTGAGCAAAGCATCCTGGGAACACGCAGGCATCGCAGCCAGGAACTCATTGCTTAAATGGAATACATTAAACATCATAACAACGGATGGCACATCGACATAAACGAGATTTCCATGTGATCAGAACACTGAATATGAACTATTATTAATCACTACAGTTGAAATCTTTATCCAATTGTCAATCCAACTGTTTAACACTAAGAAATAAAGCAAAATGTCCTTAGTTAGCTTTTTCTTAAAATTGTATTCTTCCCTCATAACTTAGATTTGCAAACACAGACACGGAGGTAGTTGTTGACGAAGGAGGGAAGCGTCTCGCTCGTCGGCATCACTGATGTAACCCTGAGTCCTGATTAACAGCCCCGCTCGGCCGAGAGCGCGCCGCATGAGCCACGGCCGACCGCGAGCTGTCTCAACGGCTTCTCACGCCGGCAGAGCCCCAAGGATCCCTCTGAAGCCTTCAATATCCACTTATCATAGTCAACATTAATAACTTCTACATTATTATCCGTTTTCCACAGAGAACACCGCCGGAAGTCACTGTTTTTTGTTAATATTTTCATGTCTTGCCCTCTGGGTATGAGACAGCCTGTATATGAATATTTTATCATGTAGATTTAAAGAATCTTATTCCTAGAAGGGACATCCTCTAGAATTAACACAAAATTAAAACAAATTATTAAGCAATGTAAGTATAATATCACAATAATTCTTTCGAGACTATTCTGAAAATATGGAACAATAACTTTAATGTCAGTGTTCTAAAAAAATAGATATACGGGGCAGTAAACCCATTCCTTCATCCTTTAACCCACTAAGTGCTGCCATATGGACGGATTGCGAGGCAACGCTGACACAGACCTACAGAGGAGCAACGCGCAGTGCTAAATGCTACAGTGATGTGTATGTTAACATGCTCACGCTCAAGTAAGCAGGTGTAATGTTTAATATCTTTACCATTGTAATTTAACAAATAGTACTAGCATGCTAATATGTGCTTTGCACTGTTTGCACTAAACAACTTCAGCTAACGCTGCTGGGAATATTCTGCAACGACAGTATTTGGACTTGTAGTATTGAACCAAGACAATGACGAATCAGCTCCACATCCGTCTGGAACCTTAATGGTTTTCAAGATCTGAAATCACATTTTTAAGATTTAGCTTTAATGTGTTTAGTTGTATTATTAATGGAGTCGGCCACTGGATTAAAATGTTCTTCCCGAAACAAAGGATTTGTGATGTGAGAAATGAGACTTGTTTGACAAACACGATCAGGACATCCCGTCAAACTGAGGCTCTGGCTTGGACAGATCACCACAAACACGTTTACACACCGTCCAAATAAATCAGATCATGATAGGGAGCTGCTCGGCATCAAAGAGAGAGAAAGGCTTTCACCGCCGTGAGAGAGAAGCAAAGCGCCCGACGTGAGGTGTGTCATCGGCGTACGGTGTAATTCTCAGGCGGGAGATTTGAGGAGATCATTACCGACAGACATTTAATGAGAGTCCGCATGGAAGGTTGGCGCGCGTGCGCCGGCCCTCAGCCGTGCGTTAAGAGGTTCCTGACAGACCGCGAGGGGCCCCGGCACGCCGGGTAGGTAGCTGCTCATCTATGGCTCAGCCCCCACACACCTCTCAGGAACAATTACTTCTCTTCCAGCTCCTCGTCACAGATGGCGAGGGCTTTAAGTGCGACTCCCCCCTCCCCCGTCTCCCCATCGCCTTCCTCTCCTCTATCTGTGGCTCATTGTGCCTTTGGTTGACTGTGCCGGTCTCTCTCCGCCTCTCCGTCTTTTTTAATTTCTGTCGCTCCCTCGGCCGCCTGCCCCCCCCCCCTCTTCCTCCCAGCCTCTCCCAGCTCCAAACGCAACAGTTCGGTTTAAATCCATTACACTTCAGCCCCCCGACAAGAGCGCGGGATCCATGGTAACTGTTACGAGACAGCAATCTGTGACTCCGCGCCCACGTCGAGGCCACCTGTGTGTGTGGGAGGGGGTGGGGGGGTCGCGCTGAAGGCGTAAACGCTTGTGTCACCGGCTAAGCGGCTGGTCGTGTCCTTCGACTGTGACCTCTACCTGGGACACAAAGAGGCGGAAGGAACAAAGGAAGGCTTTTTTGTTTAAAAGCGGCATCCGATTTTGGAGCAGACGGAGGAATCTAATTTGAAAACAATACGGCAACCTTCTGAAGCCGCTCCCCGTGCACAACACCGGCGTGATGTGGGTAAGAAGGCAGCAGTGGAGATGGCTGAAGTAGCCTTAAGGCCCTGTCCTTGAGGAAAGAGCACAGACACAGTAAATCAGCAACACGTCGTCTGACATCCTACGCTAATCAGCGCCGGGAGACTCAGCTCTGCCCTGCTGGAAGAACACACGGCAGTGCTGGCTTGATTCGTGGAAAGTTGGGCCAACAATGGACATAAAGATAAGGCGGCGTTGTAATCACAATCAGGGATAATTAAAGGGCCGCTCATGCGCTGCTTCCCACAATAACACCACATCACTGAATTACCATTTAATTGCATGTTGATACAATCAATGCCGCTCTGACAGAAG